CGCAAGCAACTACACAATTCATACGTAGGATTACACTCTGGCGCGTTTGGGGTGGATAAGAGAGCAGTCCGTGTAATTTCCAGGGGACCGGGCAGGTCTAGAGATAAACTGGAACTCCTAACCCAGCTTGGTAGTGAAGAATGAGTGGGCTGCTTTACTGGTGGTGACCAAAGGGGTTCTACCGTGGGGTGGGTGCCCAGAAGATGGAGTCAATCCCAAACCTGGTGGATCAGTCGGCCGTTGTATTAGGTCCGTCCGTCCAAACTGTGCTTTATGTGGCTCCCTCTAGTGATTGACTTTTGGCGATTTACGCTAGGGCAGTTAATACAGTTGATCAGTAGATTCAGAGTTCCCAGTCGACTTAATTGGGAGAGTTCTACGCACTGAAGCCAATGGCTTAGATGCATGAACGCGATTGGGTCTTTTTTTACAGTGGCTAACCATTGATAAGTTCTGTCCCGGGGTCCCTGCCCAGGGAGACAGCAATGACCAGCAAAGCTGGGTTTCTCGTCGTGGCTTTTATACTTCGCTGTTAGTTCATTGACCTCCCATGGCATGTTTCCGATCTGGAGGTTGTCCACAATTATATTCAGTGGGTCCCTCGGGATCTCTTGTTGTAATCGTTGTTTGTGGAATCAGTTCATTTAAGGTTTTTTAAATCCTACCCTCTCTTCACTGTGCCCCGGTCTGTGCGCCCTTTTCGCTCGCCAATGGGCTGGCTTATCCGGTCGTATGGGTTTGTGTGTTGAAGTCATTTCCCAAGTCCAGATAACAAGGTGGGGGAAACCTAGATTCCACTCGGTCGGTGACCTTCCTGAACTTGTGTTTGCTTCAACGCGGCGCTTTCACTTAACCTCGCTTGACATCCACCCCTCCCTACCCTACATATGAAGCGGCTGTCCAAGCTTTCCAAGATTAGGAACTCGCCTACACGTTGATGCGCGCCCTTAGCTTCATCGTTTTCGGATGACTGATCGCTATCCCCAGTCGGCTGATTTCCAGTTAACCGTTTCCGGGGTTCCGTAAGTTGACACCCTGGTGCCCTTGCCACTAGTTGTACCTACTAATGGTTTGACGTAAATAACCTCGTCTCATTTGAAGACCCGTCTCCGAATTGTGATCCGATAGAAAGTTTTGAATTGAGGGCTTATATATGGGGCTTTAGAGATTGACGCATTTGCCGTTCATGTGTCCCCAAGTTTGCACTTCGAGACGGTTTACGGCGAAACCGTTATCTTGTCAGCTGACTACAGGTATCCGAGATGTGGCGGATCTCTCTAGTTCCTACAAACTGCTGAATTCTTACCTCCAGTGGCTGCAGGCGTTTAGAGATAATTACCACAGGCAGGCCAAACTTGTAGTTTGACACATCGATGGTGGTGTTCATGGCTCGTTTTTTTGTTTATACGGTCCAACCACTGGCGTACAATCAACCAAATCTGATACACCTCAGTTAGCTTCGTACATGTGTGGGAGACACCATTTCTAAGCTAAATCTGTCATTCCCGTTTTAATGTTGACTTCGTAGCGTGTCCATCTGGCATCCGAAACACTGGTCTCCCAATTTCCGGTTTAGTGAACGCTGGTCACACCACTCCGCAGCTGGGCCAACCAAAAAAATGTTCGGTTCTTTCAGCTGGCCGACCATTGTTAACAGATCTGTTTTGTCAGTTGGCCGCCCCATTGGTTGTACTGACTGTGTTTACACGAAGCGTAAAACCATCACATCAACAGCAGCTGCTCCATGTGGGAGTAGGTCCTTGATGAAACGCTGTGAGTGTGCTCTCCGACGTCATTCCCAACAGGCGTTTGACAGCAGACGCGCTCAGTTATTACAGTGAGCAAATATTTCAGTGAGGCGCGATTTTAAGCACTGTTCCCATCAAGCTCAATACACTGTTTGGCAATTCCGAAAAGTGTTCCGTAAAACGTAAGGTGTACGGCAATGTGTGGATTAACTTATATAAGAAGAGTACATGAGAAAACCTTCCAACTGGGTCACACCAAGAAGAGACTTACAGAAATATTCTGGTAGACCTCAGAATCAGACGTATGGTTGTGTAGGACAATTTACTCCAGAAAGCTCCGTAGCTGATTCGTGTGGAGGCAACGAGCCTGCAGAAGGTATACCGAACTAAAGGGGCACCAATACTTTAGTTTGTTTCTATTCAACTAGATAGTCAGAAAAGACCCCCAGAGCATTATTTCCGTCATTTCCTTCCTGCTCACGTTACCTATTACGTTTTGCAATGTATAATTGTTGCTGATCCGTGAGACAGACTACTCTTCCATCCACTGTAGAGCCGGCTGTGAAGGGTTGCCATCATTCAGCGGGAGAATGTACGGACTCTGTCGCATTTTGAGGTACTTTGTCACTTCCGGGTCCAATAAATAACGCTGGTTTGAATACATCAGGAATTACCTGTAACTTCTATCTGGCAGGACTGACGTGTTATCTTCGATATTTTTCGGCCCCGTTTTGTACCTCAGTACAATAGCAACAAGAAGTAAACTTTTGTATCGCCTACATAGGATTACTCTCTAACTAGGTGGGATTGTTAGGAACCATAATTTCGAGCAGAAATTCCATTCCATGAAAAAACAAATTTGACGAGTACGCTGAAGTATCGCGCATCAAGATGGGGGACGGATCCCAAAATTTCTAAAAAGCCTTGTGAAAATATTTCTTCTTATCACACTAGCAGTAAACGAGACAAGTTCACGTGCGTACATTCGCACGCGTTGTCGGTCTCACATTGTCCGGATTTGAGAACGCGTCGCTATCTATGACTGGTCACGTTCTGCGCGCCAGACACCTTGGGCACGGGGGTGAGACGGACGATTCTGTGCATTTCTGCATGGCGATTCTCGAATCGTATGCTAAACTAGTTCTAAGAACAACACTGTTTTTCGACTGACCGTTGGCCACATCCTTCTTTAGGCCGTCTTGAGTGACTTTGTTGCCAATCTGATAACCTGATGTTGGCTTCTCTTTTGCTTATCGGAGCATTTAGTTGCCACCTGATCCACTGAATCGTCATGTTACAACAGAGTTAACAGTCTTCATTTCGCCAGCAAAGGGTCAGTGCTGGAGAATAGTGTGCTGTCGATGATGATGAGGATACTTTTTCCACCTCCTGTCTCACCCACCATTCTTCAGGTTTGTAATCTGGACACGACCCTCTTTAATAGAAGGTTTGTTGGCTCTTGGGTTACTTTTCTCAGGTGCATCTCTGTCAAACTGTGTATTTGAACCCGAATGACTGATACGTGTCACAGTAGCAAACAACTTCTTTTCAGGAAATCCTCACCTTTAAGCTTATCACCGGTTTACTGAGTTGGGGGCGTAACGCCATCGGGGAACTTTTGTTGCATATTTCACCATGTAAGGGAAGCCATCCTATGTTTAAAAGCCGAGAAGCTCTAGGTAGAGTGTTTTCATGCTAACTGGTAATTGCCAACTGTGCACATTTCACTAAAATGCAGTAGGGAGCCTGAAACTTGGAACATCCTGGTCAGTAGTTTTTCGCAGTTGGCAGTTTGGACAAGAACGGCCGATTATCAGTGATCTTTCGGTGGCATTTCTTCGCAGACTGACTTTATTTACAGTACGAACTCCCAATCAATGAGTAGTAATAAGAGGACGAATAGTTTTACGTGAGGAGTGAAATTCAAATCCAAGTAGTGAACCAACAAGCGACACGTGGTATAGATTTTGTACCTGAAGCATGAGCGGCGCTATATGTCGTCTAACAGAGAACGGAACCGGCTGTCGACCGAGCGCTCAACTGTTCAAAATACTGCTCGAAAGGTCGCGGACCTAAAACTTCAAATTAAAATTTAATGGAGAATTTGATGGGATGAGTAGTGCTGAAGATGGGAGACACATACTACCCGCATGCCTCATCAGTAGTATCCACCGTTACACAGGTAGTAGGCCGCTAGGCGCCTTGAGCACCTTTGGGTGTAGTAAAAAAGAAATATTTCTCTTGTCAAACCCTGACTTGTCCACCTGAATTTGAAATCCTTTGTAAATAACGGCAGTTTGGAAAGTTTTAGGGAACAAATTATTCATTATTTGACCGATATCCACAACCTGAGTAGAGACTTCCGGATTTGGGAGGACTATTTTTCTTTTAAACGCAAAATCAAGCAGGAACACTTGTTTTAGTTTCAGGTGTCTGCTGGAGATATAATCATCTTCTGCTCCCTCCACGAGATGCAACATGGTTGGCTTCTTTCCTGTGAAATCGATTCTCAATACGTGTGTGACTGTAGCAATCAGTTCACAGCTCGTCCATTGCTACTCTTTCACTGGACTATCAATATATGAAAAGTGTCCTGCAAAGCAAGCCGTTATTCAAGATCAGAGAAAAGCTTATTTTATCAGCCGGCATACCGAAACCGATGGGGAGTCACCAAGTGGCCAGCATGCTTTGGGATAATCCAGAGGCTAAGGCGCCAGGCAGCGGCAGTGTCCTCAGTTGAAACCCAACTGTGGCTGTTCAAGTCTCTTGTCTAAGCGTGGGCAATCTGGCTTCGCTCCGTTTCCAGATGGACACTCATCATTCACCAAACGCATCGAAGTCGCCTGGTCACGTGTTAGCTAGCTTCCCCGCCAACGAATTTTGAGCAGTAGGAGTCATACAACTTGCAAAATGTGTGTCCTCTTCTGCAGATTTCCTACAGTTTGGTAGGAAATGGATTAGATGACGGGGCCCATCCCCGGAAACCACCACCACTTTCTGTACCATAACACTCTCCACACCCCCTGCCGACGCAAATGACTTCACGTCCGAAAACCCCCCCTTCCGACTGTATACCGGCCTTCGACAGATACACCCTATAAATGAGATATCCATAGTGGAATTTATGCTCTAATTGCTGCAGCGGATTCAGGCCTACTTCAGCCATCACTCACAACTCTACCCCCGGTTGTGACCTCGAACTATTTCAAACACATGCCTAGTCAACTATATTTCATGTACCCCTACCTCCCCTACCCATTTTTCCCCAGTACGGAACTCCACCTATACGAAGTTACTAAATTCTCAATTAATATGTTGTGCACACCAATGGACCTATCAGTGATGCTGTTTAACGCCCTCTTACTGCTTGCAAAAGACCATACTTTCCTTGCGATTGTTGCTGTTGCGCAACCAAGTCTGATTTGTGTGACCGAAACATGGCTGTCAGTCGAAACTCCAGAAACGGCAGTCTAATTCTCTGTTTATGATATTCACCGCTCTGACAGAAGGAACTCGAGTGGTGGAGGCGGAACCATCTACTTCAAGTGGCAGATTCGTGCAACCGCCATTGATGATTCCAGCCGAGAAGGGATTTCGGAGGCTATCTGGATCTTCATGGAACAAACCGAAAGACCTGTACTAGTAGGTTAGCTATATCTAGCTCCCACCGCGCCGTTGGCATCACTGGAAACCATTTTAGCGGTTCGCCTCCCACCTATCAGACAGAGGTAAATAACTCAAATCGAGATATACAATCATCTGCACTTTTTATCACAAGTGGAGTCGTCCAAGGAAGCGTACTAGGCCCCATCCTCTTCGTGCTGTGCAATAATGACGTCATCGGCACTATATCCCATGGTAAGGTATTCCTCTTCGCGGACAATATAAAAATTGCTTACACGTTCCCTCTTGCTGCGCAAGCGCTTGCCTTCCACCAGATTAAACGACACTTAGATTCATTGACTGGCTCGTCAAACGACTCTGGCCTAAGCTTCCACACGAAATCCTGCAAAGCTTCCTGCCGCCGCGGTCTCCCGCCTGACACTTCCACAATTAATGGAAATCATTTCACCTATTCCACGAAGATCAAAGATCTCGGCCTCAGATATTCCTGTAATTTTAGCTTTCCCCGCCAGGTGCATCTTCAGGTTGCCAGAGCACGCAAGCTCAGTTTTTGACTGCTGCGTTCCTGTCACCTTCCAGACACAATGGTTGCAATTGTTAAGCTATGCGTAGGACCAACCATGGAATTCTGTCCCGCATTCTCTTTCTTTACACCCAAAGTTGCAGACTCGCAACGGAAAGTGTCCAACGCTCACTCACCACAAAGCTCTTCCGTCGGTCATACCCCCGCTCACGGCTCCTGCTGTCAAATCCTAGGCCTCAAACCACTAGGGCTTAGACGGTTAAAATTGAATCTAACTCTCTTACATGGTCTGTTGCAGAAAAACGCCTTTATAACAGAGGCTGGACCAAATATAATCTTACAACCTCGTTACGGACTCCGTAACTCCTGCACAATCTCAGTGTGTCCCAGAGCTCGTACAAAATTACGACACTACTTCTCCCCAGTTTATTAGCTGTGAAATTGCTGCCGCATTACTTAATACCTCACTATCACCTGAGTACCTCCTTGAATCGGGTCCAGTACGCATTTGAGTTTAAGCGACGTCACAGTCAGTGGGCAAATAAAGGATCCCGTTATCATCTCTTCCCATCATCTTGACCCGCTTTAAGCTGATGAATGACTTGAATGCCTACTTGATCTAACTATGCACGGTTACTGGCCTACTAACGCATCGTACTAGTCTAGTCCCTACACCGGATTACCCTATGAACTCTGTGTAGTGGATAGTGCACTCGGCTAAGCTCTACTAGCTAGAACCAAACGAAAGTTAGCCCTTATTTTTCTTTAAATCACTGTACAAATTAGGCGTCTACTAACCCTAAATATGCTGTGTTACTGGACTGGTTGTGTTTCTGTTTATCCAGCCAACTTATATCTCGTCCTCGTCAAGTTACTACACCGTCTGCTCTATCAGCTCTGGCTAGTGACTGGTGCTATCAGCCTAATTCTAACTGATAAAAACCAAAACAAATTTGGTTGTCCCTTCATTCCCAGAGCGTGTTCTGCGTTCATTTGAAGATTTGCCCCACAAAACACACAAAACATCGTGGAACGCTTCTGCTCGACATGGCAGCTCACACCAACGCTCAGACGCCATTTAACCATGGTGCAATCGCCGTGACTATCACCATCCGATCCCCAGTGTCTCATTGGCAGCTGTCATTTCACTTCTACTCCACGACCTGACGCTACCAGCGTCTGTGTGCTGTCTGCCTGTTTGAATTGACTGATCTTCCTTTACTGGCCTTGCTTTCCCCCGACCAGAAGATAATGGTAAATGGATTATTTAATATAGCATTTATGACTGCTTGCATAGTTTTCCACCTTGCAGATCTGGTAGCATGCACAAGGGATGAAAACCTCGTGTGGTGGAAGGATACGCTTTGTCAAAAAGCAAACAAGAAAACAATTTAAAATATGACGAAAAAATCACCTGGGATAGCTTGAAGGTACCCTGAAATGCCCATGGCCTGCATCGACGAGTATAACCCTGTCTGCCTTCGTCAGGACAGAGGTTACACTGCGCCAAAGCCCATTTCCTCGTCCAATCAAAGAACACATCTACCTGCCGCTTGCGGTGGTAGACACGAAAGTCTTCATCCATATACACCACTTACAGATCAAAGCTGATAGCAGTGCTTCGAGGACCGGTGACTATTTCTCTTGCATATACTTCTTCTCCTGCTACTGCCTCCCTCATGTAATAATCATGCCAGCCCTCATATCATTTTCACACCACCGTTCTGCGTGCTCATATCGGTTTTTGCTGGGTCACGCGTAATGAAATATCCTATGTTAGCAAGCCCAAACCCTGGTGGCTAGCCCAATATGTACAAATCCATCTATTTCCAATTTCATATAATCGTTTGTCATTACCTTAATTGCGGCAGACGTCAAGTTTTCCATTCTATTTATAATACTGCATACAGTCCCATCCGATGGCCCCCCAACCTCACCACGTTTTACAAATCTCATCCCATCCCCTCGTCTTCCCAAGCTTTGAACTTCGGCAATGCTCTATTTGGACGACCTAGTTAGCTGATACCCACTCCACCTGGTCTGCGATCTACAACCACGGGATCCACAAACAGACAGAAAAAACATGCGATCCTATAAAGGTTTCGTTCAAGCTTTCCTTTCTCGGTCAGCCTGAAAAGATTCACTCTTCACAATCAGATGCACACCCCAGCCAAATCACCTCAAAATTGGCGTCCCTTGCGGGGCTGTCCAGAAATTGAACCACGTCAGGCCAATGATGGCAGGGCCCTAAACTACCCAGTTCGATGTCACACCCGCAACCGTTACATTCCTCCTCCCGACCGTGCTATTTTGCCCACTCCTTCCGGTGACTGCAAATATGACGAAATTCTTACCTGACTCCAACTGTCTTCATGACATATTCCTTCCATCCTGTTAGACTACTCGTTCGAATATGACCATACCTGTGTTCTCGTGTCCCCATCCAATGTAACCCTTGGATCTGATTTCTCTACAACGGTGCAACCAGTTAGTCTGCTAATTTTCAGATGGTCCCATATTTTTGAGACAAAACCTGCCCCGTTCCCCGGATTTTAATTATTCCATCTCCCCTCCACTTTCGCTTGCTGTGACACCTGCCAACTACCCAACCGCCCAAGGTCACTCATCACAAGCAATAGGTTTTCACTTTTAAGTTCACGTCATCCGGCCGTGTTTGAATTAGTCAAACCTCATGCCCATTGTTCCCTATAAGTTAGGAAAGAAATCATCGAGTGTTTCCCACTTTTATGATACTGTCCTCATTTCGCGCAATCCTTACAACCATCAACCCCCAGTCATTCTATATTCTGACTGTTAACATATGATCATGCCAGACGGTAAGCCACACACAAGTTGGGATTCACGGATTGATACGCGGAATCGAGGCCTTCGCTCAAGTTTCGCGGGTTGGTTTTGTTCTTGTCGGTTAGTGACTGTCATTCACCTGAAATGCGCAAGTGAAAAAAAGGTGTAGCACTGCTCTTTATCTTCTCAGTGCGGAACAGCATGCTTGCCAGCGCGAGGACTCGCATAAAAAATGTCTAGTAGAGCTTTGAACTGGGTTCTAGAAGGAGCGTGGACAACCATAGAAGGAAAGTCATTTTTTGCAGCAGCTACTCGAAATGAGAAAAAATTGCCTAATGAATGTGTGCGCTTTGAGCTTACAAATAATTTCACTATGTAACCGGCGTTTTTTTGCGGGGTCAGCAGTAATAATTCTGCTGGCCAAGCTTTGTTCAAACGGTACATGAGTAAGAATAACGTCCACCCGGAGGCAAATATACTCCAGGGAAAAGAGATCAAGCATCGCGCGACGCGTTTCGTAGTCCACGGATTTGAGGCTGGCAACAACTCCCGCGGCAGCTCGCTGGACACGCTCAATGAGGATGTCGTCTTTCGTACGTTCTGAGTAGACAACTTGGTTGGCGTATTCCAGGAGTGGTTTAACGTAGGCTTCATAAATTGTTTGGATGTCCATGCGAGTAATACGGGAGAAGGTGGGTCGGATAATCCACAAAATCGCGAACGCTTTTTGGGCCGATTTCTCATGGTGCGGTGGGGGACATGTTTGAGGAGATCCAGATACCCCAATTGTTTTTGACGTCTATCCTCGTGATGTTTTCTGATCCTTCACCACCATGCATGAAAAAAGCATTCGCTGAGTCTCCTACAAATGACATGCGGACACACTATTCATCAATCATAGAAAAGTGCCACTCTAATGACCACTGCTTTGCAGCGTCTGTCAATTTGGAGGGCAATGTCATTGGAACTCCAGGGTTCCGAGTGGTCCGCAAAAAGTAAACAGGGACAGGCAAGAACATCCGGAAGGTCGTCGACGTACGTCAGAAACAGAAATTGTCCCAGGATGGACCCTTGAGGAACCCCAATGGAGACCGGCACTGGAGAAGTATAGTCGAAGCCTATTCTCACTCGGAGTGAGCTGTCTGATGGGAACGCTTTTAACCAATAAAAACCTTTCTCTTTTATCTCGTAAGATTCCATTTTGTTGAGCGGCGGGACTTGCGGGGCCCTATCGAATGCTTTTCAGAACTCAAAAATATGGCATCAGGTATGAGTCCAACAGCCCTGGCTTGGGTAAAGCTGTCCATAAACACAAGCATGTTTGTCACGGAAGAAGAGTTTGGGAAAAATCCGTGTTAGGAAGGGGGTATCAGGTTGCTGGAATTAAGGCATTCTAGAATGGCTAGCTTCAGAATACGCTCCGCCATCTCGCACGGCACGCTAGTGAGTCTTGTAAACTCTTAGCTGCCAGCGGATAGCCGGTCACCAGTTTTGTAGATCGGTGTGATGCTGCTTTCATCAA